ACTTTACTAGTAAAATGTATGGTAAAATTTCACAAAACTCTCATAAAATTCTTTAAAATGCTGTGTTATCTCAGGTTCACATAATTTCCAGGATAAATTTTTAAAAGAAAATTTTAAGAATTTTGTGAGAGCTTTTGGAAATGTTACCAAACGTTTTACTAGTAAAATGTACACTAATTGTAAGTATAATTAGTAGGAAAATGTATGGTAAAATTTCTAAGTAGTTTCTCTTAAAGTTTACCCTGAAAATCATGTAATTGTGAGACAACGGTGCATTTTGAACAAAATGAGACCTTTTTGAAATGTTACCATACATTTTACTAGTAATTATACTTAGTATACATTTTACTAATAAACTGTACGGTAAAATTTCAAGAAACTCTGATAAAGTTCTTCAAAATTCCGTGTTGTTCCACGATCGCATCATTTTCAGAATAAATTTTAAAAGAAAATTCTAAGAATTTTATGAGCGCTATTGGAAATTTTACCACACGTTTTACTAGTAAAATATATACTATGTATAATTACTAGGGAAATGTGTGGTAAAATTTCAAAAAACTCTCATAATGAAAGAGTTTTCTGTTAAAGTTTACCCTAAAAATCATGTTATCGTGGGACAACATGGCATTTTGAACAAATTTATGAGACTCTTTTGAAATTTTACCATACATTTTACTAATAGCCTGTACGGTAAAATTTCAAGAAACTCTCATAAAGTTCTTCAAAATGCCGCGTTGTCCCACGCTCACATTATTTTCAGGGTAAATTAAAAGAAAATTCTCTGCGTGTATCAATGTGTTATAACTATGTAACTTGTAAATGATTTCTCGCCGTAAACGATCGAACATTCAGCTCTCTCGTTCCGACGTAAAATTGTATATAAAATATTTGCAGTGAAACAAGCCATCAAGAAGATAAATCCCGCAGCTGTAACGAAAATGTTTTATGATACTTTTTAGCGGTAATTAAAAGAGAAAAATTTTGAGAAGGGGGGAATTAATTTACCGCGAGAGTACTCCCTCTGCGAGAGGGGAGAAGGAAAGTGGGAAGAGAGAAACGGCTTCGTTTTTGTGTGACAAGTTAACGTCGCCGGTATATGAATCAATCCAGTTATCCTCTCGACGGTGATATCTCTTTTATGTATATTTATACGCGCGCGCCCGCCTTTTTACGGATAATAAATTGCTACGGTATCGAGAGCATTCTGCGAAACGAGATGTCGCGGCATTTGCATGTTATCTCCCGCCCTTTCGCGAAATTACGCTCTCAAAAAGCAGCGGGGGGATCGAGCGCACAATAGTGTTATCTGCGCGTAGCTTAGTGCGGCGCTCCGTGCCTTGGAATTATTTATTGCACTTAATCACCGATCTGCGGCCCTCGCCGGCAGTTAACCCATATTTCCCCAGCTTAATGGCGAAAATAAACAGTGCCCACGGCCCGCCGAAACACTTCCACGAGCGACTAAATGTCTCGCGGGCATCGTGCGCCATATGCGTAACGTCGTCTAATCGCGACGTTCCACCGTTCGCACCGTCGCGCCCCGGCTATTTCGCCGAGATGCATTTCCACTTGCTCGCCCATGCGGCCCCTCGTTGGAAGCTGCGAGGCTCCGTACGAGCGACGATCCGTCGCTCGCGCGTAAACGCGAGAGCCGAAGATAAAACTGGCTGAAACGCAACGATCGCGCGTCTCCGCTCGGCCGACCAACTTGTGCCAGATTTCTTCCGGGGCGAGTCGCACCGGATTCATACCGCGCGACTCCATCCGACTTAAGATCCGCGTAAATCCTCACCTGATTAGCGAGCGTGAGATACGACGTGATAAAGCGTCGTTAACTTAATCGCCGCGCAGTAATGTCGACGATCGTCCACCGGGCAACATTATGAATCCATTTAAGATTCGCGGGCACCGGCGCGGGAAAAAGCATTATGTTTCCGCGTCTCGCGATCCTATGCAGCGCACGTTTCGCGCATTTTTATCCCATTTCAAGGTGCGCTACGTTACATGCGGGATGCACCTATGTTATGTAAACGTACCTACATATCTCTCTCTCCCTCCCTTCCTCCTCCCCTTTCTCTCTCTCCGTCTCTCTGTCTCCCGGTCTCTCGGTCTCGCGCTAGATTATTTATTATACTAATTACGGAATTGCGGCCGCCACGAGTTCTACTTGCCGGGCTAGCTTGACGGCGCGAATAAAGTTTACCTCGGAATAAGTTGTACCGCAAACGCGCGTGCCCTTTACGGAGGCGCCCGGCAAAGTTTATCGAGAGCATTTAGCCCAATACTAACACGTACATCGAATTAATTTAACTCGCGCGGCGCGCGATAGCGCGCTTCCTTCTTTGTAATTGGTTTCTCGAGGGGCGAAGGGGGCGGGTGGGGGGGGGGGCGGGGTGGACAAAGAGGAACGCGCGCGGGGGATGGTAGTCGCCCCTTTCCCTTTCTTGGACGGTAATGGAGGCGCCGCCGACCGCCCTCTTCGCTTTGATCGCTCTGCCGGAATAGGACTCGGAGCGTCTCGGAGTCGACGGGAGGGCGGCGGGGGCGCCCGATGACCGCAACGTGGGTTTCGTGTGGAAATTACCGAAAGACAACCGTATTTCGGCGCCGTATTTCGGGATCTCGAAACAGTCCCCGCGACCGCCGCCGCCCGCAACCCCGTGCGCGAGCGTAAAGCGTTTTCCGATCGCGCGACACAGTCGTTTCCGAGCTCGTTTTTTCCCCATCTATTTTTCGCCCCATTATCTCACGTGAGAGAATAAACGAGACGCGAAAGAATAGATTGTTAAAATTAACTCGCGCCCCAAAATATACAACTTGACACCAGCGCTTTCTCACGCCGCTTTTACCATAAGCATAATCCTCGCTTCCTCTCCAGCGTTGCTCGAGAGCGCGTAATTATCGCGAGATAATAAACAAATGTAGAAACGCAGGGATATAATGTTGCCCCCCGCCGTGCTCGCGTGTATCGCTGGTGTTAAAGCAATCGCGCCAATAGGGTTTATATCGAAAATTGCACGTATTATGCCGCAATATTGTTCGATCGAGCACTTTAACAAACGTTGACCGGGCGCAATCAGTTATACTAATTAAGTTAATTATGCGACAGTAACAGATTCTCCATAAGTAGATCACAGTGTCCACGTTAATGAAATTTCCGGCCAATTTCTACGAGATGTAATAATATACATACATGTTATATGTCGTTGTATCAATCAGACACTAAACATTTCCGTCCCTTTTAAGGGGATCCTAAAGCCGCCTGTTTTATCGACATTCTTTGTTAGACTTTTAATTGGCATTGTAGAAACGCAAAACTCTTTTACGGGATCAAAGTACGCAGCAAAATCTGTACTATGCTGGTTGACTTTACATGAAAAACGAAAAAAATTAAAGATTTTATTAATTTTTGGTACACTTGAAGATATTTGCTTGGTACAAGAATTCTATAATAAATACATACAAAATGAGACCGGCATACTCTAGGGACAACATATCAGAACAATATCGTGCAATTAGAACTAAGATTAATAGCCTAGAGAAAAAGATTACTTCTAATAAACGCAAGTAGAAGAAGAGAAAAAGGGATAGTTGCAGGCTGTTTCGAGAGAGGTCGCTGCCAAACATCTGTCAGATTGTCAGTAAAGCCATGGCGTTGATGCTAGAATTTGATCCAAAATCTCGGTCTGAGCGATGTGTAGCTAATACAATTGCTGCTTTTCCGTAAAAGTTGCAAATCGATTGGCTATCAATTTCTCGGACCGAATTCTAGCGTCGTGACCGCGAAGTCGATAATTGAGGTTTTTAATTCCGTCTCCTATCTTATCGACACTGATCGAGTTCGCCAGAGGCTTTGGGATCCCCTTAAAGTTTAAAGAACATTACCAATAATAACAAAATCATGTTTCTTTTTTACGGCAAGCTCTTTTATTATCCTATTTCCGATGAACTCGTATAATTGTCGGTGCCAAGTCAATTTATTTCTTGCGTGAACCGTTGACGCTGCAGTTTGAAAACTGTTCTCCCTGTGCAACGAATCGTGCTTAGAAAGCAAAATATCTTCCCTCGCGAAATGGAGAAAGGAATGGAAATGGGATTGGTATAGGCTTAATCTTAGGAGAAATGTCTCTCCAAGAATATATCCTTCGTTCTCTGCATATTCTATCGAATACGAAATCACGACTCAACGAAAATGCCAGCCCAGGCTCGGCAACAACGAATAACTTTTGCAAAATTATCGTCGCAGTTTTACGCCTTCACCTTCATACGTTTAAATACATAATCTTAAAAGAGTATACGGCCAATAAAATTATGTTACTGAATTATATTCGACAGCAGCGTTTAATATCACAATTTGTTATGTAAGTGTTGCATTTAAAAAATATGCAAATTGTACAAATGACGTGCATATCAATCGTGCAGAAAGTATTATAGAATTTATAAGAATAAAATTTCAAGAGGCAACATACCATAAATTTATTTACATTTCCGTTTGAATCAAGTTTTACGTGTCTCTTTTTAAGATAGATCGGTAATTGAATGAAGCGCACTCAAAGTTGCAGCCTGGCAGTTCCCCCATGAACTCAAAGTTTTTCTAGCCAGATATTCTCCGTCGCTTATGGAAAGCCGACTAGTGGCAAAATAGATTTGCAATCAATAATCGATAGAACGTTAAATCACGCCGCGAAGTTTTAATTCGCGACGTGAAAAATTTACCTGAATTATTTATGGCTGCCCCACTTTCGAGCCCCGGCGCTTTAATCCTAAAATCACATTCAGAGAATAGCGTGCATCAATCAAACGCGTCGTGTCTGCCGGCTATACGTAAATGCATTGCTAGAATAATGCATGAAGCGTGCGCACTTGGCGAATTCTAATCGCCAGTGTTGTTCATGATGATGCAATGTCAATAAATACTCACGCGCAAACAAGACACGCTATTATTCACGCATCGATCGGACGTCTTTCATAGCGAGATGCTTTTTTTTTATTGTTTGCAGGTGCAACAGGTTTGAAAGATCTGAAGATAAACGTACCGCCCATGGTGAGATCAGGCGATACCGTAACACTGACATGCAATTACGATCTGGAAGGCTTACCTTTGTACAGCATACAATGGCTTTTCAATGATCAAGAATTTTATCGCTTCCTCCCCGACCGCAAATCATCGCCGCCGTACAGCACTTTCAACGTGTCTGGTATAGAAGTTAATGTGAGTAATTTATAAATAAATATAGCTATGTTAAAATTCCTACCACTTATGAAAACTCGACCGACAAAATAAAGCAAACGTTAAGTTTTGATTCGCAATGTGAAGAGTTTATCTGACTAGCTATAGCCGAATGACTATTTTTTCAAGTATGAAATTCGCCAAAAGTTTCAATTATTTAATTATGAGCTAAATTATATGTTTTAGACATTTCCTTCGTCTCTTCTTAAGAGCAATTATCCTCGGTTCTCACATTCTTTCAATTATGGAATAGAAAAAAGTACAGAAAAGAAAAAGAAATTACGCGTTGAATGTCTACTATCGAAAAATTAATTTAGTTTAGGATGCACGTTTTCTATATTTGCACCCGTGATGCAGGACGCTAACGATGCTCTGTGCATTTCTTTTTTTTATATTTCTTAATCTTCAAAAGGGGTACTGGTTTTGCTCAATGTGAAAAATTAAAATACAACGAAAGTTTGCGTGTAATCAAATTAAGGAAAAATTGTTCAAATAATCAGCGGCTAAGAAAAGTAGCGCGATATAATCCTGAAGTGTCTTGCATATTTCATATTGAGTATAACCAGTGCCTCTTTCAAAGTAATAACCGAGTCACCGAGTAGGTTTATCTTTATTACATCCAACTTCTCAATTAACTTGCAATAAAAAGATTATCTCTTTAATAATACTTTCGCGAAAGTTTATTATACTAATCTCGGTAATACCATGGTGCTCATATTACGGATGGAGTTTACTCTACAAATTAGTCTTAAACCCATGAGAAAGATTCTACGCGGTGCTAGAGTAAACAAGATTACTGCAGTTGCAAGTTTTGCAATTAGCAATTTTGTATTTTCGCGAAATTTAATCGTTCAAGTTTCGGCGAAACAATCTGCGTAACTTAAATAATACCGAAGACACTTAAAGCGCAATCGGTTAGTGTCTCAAAGCGCTCTTTCAATCGCAACGCGTTGTATTCTCGCTGTATGAAGTATCATAAATTGTATTCCTCGTGGGATGCGCATATCGATGCGCCGTTAGATCCATTTATCAAACGAGTCCCTCCCCTCCCCCCCTCTCTCTCTGTCTCTCTTAAGAGTCGTCGAGATAAGAACTAAAGCCGGCCCGATTTTTGCGCCCGCGAGTAAACGACGAGCTATCTTTTTGCGACTCGCGCCCGATCCGACCGTAATCTATTTTTCTACGGAAAACATAGCCCTGCAAGTAGATTCGATAAGAGAGAAGATCTGGTTCGCGCTCTCTCGCCGAGGGCGAAACTTCTTGCCGCTCCCTGGACAACCGATCTTCCTTTTCACCCCCCCACAGCCGCCCCTTCTAATCTCCCATGCATCGGGGTGCCTCCATTTTTCCAGCCGGTATGGCCACGGCGAGGGCAAAAGTTTTCTCTCGCGGGGCAGGGCGAGGAGAAGAATCGATAGACTGATTTATGGCATGTACTACGACCGCGACACGGCTTGAACCTGGGTCAAGCGAGCTCCGTGTTTTACGGACGTCGATTCAACGTCGCCGCAATCGCGTCGCGAATCTGCCCTCCCCTTTCGCTCGTCCTGCCTCGCTCTCGCGTCCCTTTTTCTCGCGTCCTCTTAAGGTGCGACTCTCCTTAAATTTTCCGACGCTCGGGGAAAATGGAATCCCCCTTTCCGCAAGAGAGAGCACTCGGCGCGAAAGCAATATCCTGTAGGTTTGTATAACGCTCTCGCGCGCGCTCGCGCTCGCGCCGAAGAAAAATGTTACGGATTAATCCCAGATGCATGCTCGCGCTTATTGAGTGTATATGAGAAACGTACAGAGGTTCTGTACGTTACTTTATTTACATATATTTCTCACGTTAACTTATGAGAATTTTTTCTTAAAATTTATTTGCAAATCATCGCAGTCGCGAGACAACGTGGCATTTCAAAGAATTTTATGAGTTTTTTTTTAAATTTTACCACACATGTCACATTTTACTAGTAAAATACATGGTAACATTTCCAAAAACTCTCATAAAGAGAGAATTTTCTCTTCAAATTTACCTGGAAAATCATATTATATAATCGTGGAGCGACACAGAATTTATGAGTTTCTTGAAATTTTACTAGTAAAATGTATGATGAAATGCCATGTTGTCTTATGATTACATGATTTCAAGGTAAATTTTAAGTGAAAATTTTCTCCGCGCAGCTTGAACCAATTTAGATTTATGCTGGAAATTATTTCCTTTCGTAGCTTCGATGTTATTAACATTCTGTGTTCTTTACCAGCTTTCGTGACTGTATTTTTCACGTAAAATTAACAGTGTTCAGAATTGATTTTAGTCGATACCCGAGAGATAAATAAGTGATGTAAAATCGATATTTTTATTTGCGAAAAAGATTGCTTAACAACGTCCAGTGTCGTTCGTTGATTTTCGCTCTCTTTTTATCAATTTCACAGTTTGCAACGTAATTTAATTAATCAAATTGATTTCAATTGGTACTCGAGAGACAATAAATGCGATGTAAAATAAATATGTTTATCGAAGAAAAAGATTGCTTAACAATGTCCAGTGTCGCACGGCGATATTCGCCTTTTTCTTATAAATCTCACAGTTTGCAATATGATTTAGTTAATAAATATCTCAGGTGAAACACTGCACGCGCAAGGAAGACATATATAGCCTCGGTATAGCATGTACATTTAATAGCGTCCAGCGCTGGCTTCCTTTTTGCTTCCTGTCCCGTTGCCCTTTGTCCGCCGACTCAAAGGAAGTCCTGCAGGAAAATACTCTCGTGGGATCGGCGACGTGCTTTACTGATAATTAGGGCAAAGGTACGGTCGTGCAGACCGCGAATGTAGCCCAGAAGAGTTTCGAGGGAGGAAAAGCGTCACGTAGAGAAGGGATATGGAAGATGATACAGCAGATAACGCAGACCCAGAGTGAAGAATAAAGAGAACAGGCGCGCGAGAGAGAGAGAGAGAGAGAGAGAGAGAGAGAGAGAGAGAGAGAGAGA